TTAGTTGTCCAGATCATTTCTTTCTATTTTTTAGTAGAGACGGGGTCTTGCTCTTGCTCAGGCTGGTCTCGAACTCCTGACCTTGAGCGATCCACCGGCCTCGGCCTCCCAGAGTGCTAGGATTATAGGCGTGAGCCACCACGCCTGGCCTTGATTCTTTCTTCCGCCTGCTCAAATCTGCTACTGCAATCTTCTCGTGTATTTTTTTCATTTCAGCCATTGTAATTTTGGGGTACAGTATTCCTATTGGTTTCTTTTGAAAATTTCTCTTTACTGATATTCTCCACTAGTTCATATACTATGTTCCTGGTTTCCTTTAGTTCTTTGTCCATGGTTTCCCTGGGCTTTTTGAGCATATTTAAGACAGCTGATTTAAAGCATTTGTCTAGTATGCCCAATAAGTCCTCAGAGATGGTTTCTGTCAATTGCTTGTTTCCCTCAGAATGGGCCATACTTTCGTATTTCTTTGTATGTTTTGTAAATTATTGTTGAAAACTGGATATTTTAAGTATTATAATGTGGAAAATCTGGAAATTGGATTACTTCTTACATGGTATGCAATTGTTTGTTTTGTGACTTTTCTAAGCTATTTTTGTAAAAATTGTATTCTTTGTCATGTGTGGTCACTGAAGTCCCTATTCTATTAGCTTAATGGCCAGTGCTAGAAGAAAAAAAAATAAAAGAACAAATCCCCCTGTCCTGATCTTTGCAGGATGGCTCTGAGCAGGGGCACTCAGTCAACTCACCCAGGTCATTTCTAACTTTCTCAAGGCTGGAACAGACTCCCAAGTAGATTTCACTGAAAGCATTTAAAGTCAACTGGCTTCATTTCCCTCCACTACGTCTCTCCCTTTCCTGATTCTCTGGGTTAGTGAGGGCAGTTTAGTTGCCCAAGCTAGAAACCTGAGAATCTTTCTGGACTCCTTCTACTCCTACCTTTCATATCAAGCAGCCACCAAGACCTGCCTATTTTACATCTTAAATATTTCTTAAGGCCAGGCGAGGTGGCTCATGCCTGTAATCCTAGCACGCTGGGAGGCTGAGGCAGGAGGATTGCTTGAGCTCAGGAATTTGAGACTAAGCCTGAGGAAAAGTGAGACCCCGTCTCACCAAAAAGAAAGGAAAAAAAAACCAAAAAACAAACAAACAAAACCCCCAGCCAGGCCCTGCGGCTCACTCCTGTAGTCCTAGATACCTGGGAGGCTGAGGCAGAAGGATTGCTCAGAGCCCAGGAGTTGGAGGTTGCTTGCAGTGAGCTACAATGGCATCACTGCACTCTACCCAGGGCAGCAGAGTGAGACTCTGTTTCAGAAAACAAAAAACTAAAAACAAACAAACAAACAAACAAGGCAACTGAACACCGCCTTCCTCACAACTCCCCATCCCTTCATAAAAAAATATACATATATATATTTCTTAAATCCATCCCCTCCTCTCCATCCACAATACCACAACCCTAGTTTGGAGCCCTGTAACAGAGTGGCTCAGGCTGCCATCGTGGCTGCTCTCCCTAATCCAAGTCTTGCTTTCCTTAAAGCTACTTGCCATGAATCCATCAAAACCATGTAGGCCATGTCATTCATTTGCTTAGAAGTGTTTGACAGTAGGCCAAGCAGACACTGTGGCTCTGGATGTGATGCAATGTGACATGCACAGCACTACCTGTGAAACAGTCTCACCAAAATAATTTGGATGTGAACCTAATCAAGTCTTTAGATCTAAATTTCAGTTTATAGGAAATACATGAGATAGAAGAACAAATTAATGATAGTAACAGAAAGCAGTCAACTCCAGAAGATATTCTGCAGGTCAAGTGTCCTCGTTTTTTCGGTAAGTCAGTGGCATAACAAAAAGTGTGTTAGGGGAGAGAGAATATCCTCATGAAAAGAGACTTAAGAGAAATAATTATCAAATGCAACCAGTGAACCTTGTTTGCATCCTGACCCGAACAAACTAGCTGGAGTACACATGTAAAGCTAATTTGAGACAACTGGAAGAACTATGAAATTGGTATGATATTATCAAAGACTGTCAATTTTGTTAACAGTGATAATGGTGTTATGTAAGGAAAAAAGTATTTTTGAGTGAAATGACATGCTGTCAAGGGATTTGGGGCTGCTTGAGACACTATAGCAGTTTAAAAATAAAAAAGAATGAAAGATAGGATACATGAAGCAAGTGTGGTAAAATGTTTATAAATAGTCAAGGGTTTACTATACTATTATGTCTATTGTGAATGCTTGAAAATTTTCATGAGAAAAAGTAAAACAAAAAAGCTGTCATGGCCTTTACCATTGACGGGTGAAGGTTTCTTAATACTTCATTCAAGATGCCAAAATTGAGCTTCATCTCATGGCAATTATGCCTACAATTCCCTGTGTGTACCCTGAAACTTGGCAGGATTCTTCGGCTCTCTGGTTATACGAAATGGAAAGGCAAGCAAAAGTCCTCGGAGCAACTCCCAATCCAAAAAAAAAAAAAAAACCAGATTCTTGTGGGCATCTGTGAGATTGGCACCACCATCCAAGACTTCAAAATACAGAGGTGCTCACTCTCCACACATCATCTTTTCACTTCTCCGTTTGGCATGCTGGAAGATTGAGTCTTGGAGAACAGTACCGTAAACCTAATCAGGTGTCGTTCCACATGTCATTTCTTACCAGAGCAAATAAACATAGCCTCTGGCTACTGGAATGCAGCTATTGATCTGGAAAATGCTTTTATTCTCTGTCCAATAAGCAGAGAACACCAGCAGTTGGTCAGGACCTCAACCATCTGTCATCCAACAGGACAACAAGCTGGTCTACTATTTGAATGACAAGCACATAGAACCTAGTGAACAGGAAGTAGCAGGTACTTTAAATGCACTAATATGCTATATGAGTGCCTAGAAAATACAGGAAAGTGACATCCTGGTAGTCTGGAGGTCAGGGGTATTAGGATATCCTTTCCAAAGTTAGGCTCATGTTGCTGTGTCTTGCATCCCCTACCACTAAAGCAGCAGCTCAAAATTTGGGAGGCTTTTTTTTGATTGTACAATCAACATGTATCACATTTGGATGGTCTGCTTGGATCCATTTACTGCTGATCTAAAAGGCTGCTAGGTTTAACAGGACCAAGTGTCTATGGCTGACCAAGATGTTGAGTGGAGCCAACTGACAGGAGAATCAGAATGGAAGCCGCGCTTTGAAAAGTAACCAACAATTCTCCCTCTAAGAAACATCTTATGGCCTGCTACTGAGTCCTGGAGCAGTACAAATGCCTGACCATGGGGCTGCATTCCTTACTGGAGGCCCTAGGAGAGAATCTTGTCTGCTGCTCATCTGGGTTGTTGGCAGAATTCAGTTCCTTGAGTTTGTAGGACAAGGTCCCTATTTTCTTGGTGGCCATCAGCTGAAGGTTGTTCCAAGCTTCCAGAGGCTGCCTCGTTCCCTGGCACATGGCCCCCTTCCTCCATATTCAAAGTCAGCAATGGGAGGTCATGTCCTTCTCACACCTGTCTGACTCTTTGTCCATCCATCACTGCATCTCTATTTGACCATAGCTGGGAAAGATTCTGCTTTTAAGGACTCATGTGATTAGGCTGGGTCTTCTCTGAAAAGATATCTGGATAACCTTCCCACCTCAAGGTTCTTAACCTTAATGACATCTGGAAAGTCCCTTCTGTCACATAAAGTAACGTACTCACAGGTCTTGGGGATTAGGATGTGGACATCTTTGGGAGCCATTATTCTGCCTACCAAAGTTGTGGTATAGAGCACAGCCAGGAAGCCATGTGCCTGGGTTCAAGTCCCTGCTATGCCACTTACTACCTGTGTGATCACAGGCAAGTTATTTGGGCCTCAGTGGCCTTATTTGTTTTTTTTTTTTTTTTTTTTGAGACGGAGTCTCACTCTCTTGCCTGGGGCGAGTGCCGTGGCATCAGCATAGCTCACAGCAACCTCAAACTCCTGGACTCAAGTGATCCTCCTGTCTCAGCCTCCCGAGTAGCTGGGACTACAGGCATGTGCCACCATGCCCGGCTAATTTTTTCTACATATATTTTTAGCTGTCCAATTAATTTCTTTCCATTTTTTGGTAGAGACGGGGTCTCGCTCTTGCTCAGGCTGGCTCAGTGGCCTTATTTGTAAAACAGGATAATAGTACCTTGCTGTGCTGAAGACTTGGAGACTGCTAACTGTCCCGAATCGCCATTCCCCATTTCATTTTCTGAGCAACAAAACCCCTTCCTTACCCTCCACATGTAAGGTATAAACTCACCCAGCTACAGGCTATATCTATCTATCTATCTATATATATATGTATATATGAGACACCTGCCTTGAAGCCAGGTTGTGCCCACATGACTCAGTCTAGACCAATGGGGTGTGAGTAGAAGTGATACATATATACAATTTCTGCATTATTTACAACTTGGAGAAAAGCTGCCTACCTGGCAACTTGTCTCTTTTTCATTTCCTATAGGTTGGAGTATAAATATGGCCACAACCCAGTTATAATCATGCAGATTGAGACCACCACCCTCACAGTGGTGGAGTCACACCAGGGAACCTGGATGTCTGAATGACCTCAGGGGACAGACCTGACCCATCAGCCGCCTGGCAAAGCTGGACTGTTATATGAGAACGAAATTGACTTCTGTCTACTTGAGTCACTGCATTTTAATAAGTTAATGTTTGTAAAGTGTTCAGCCACAGAGGGAGTATTATACAAGTAATGGTTATTATTATGACAGATGTATCATTTTGCATTCTGGACACTGCCAATTCTACTTAATGTCTCAGGCCACCAGTATCCTATAACACAGACATAAGCAACATTAGTTCAGTCTCAGCTAATTAAGATGTATTACTTGCTTATTTATTTAGACAATAAGGAGAAAGGGGACAATCATTTATTGAATTCATATGTGCCAGGCATTTCATATGTTATGTTTGTCTCTGAAATAGCTCCATGAAGCTGCAGAGATGAGGAGACAGAGGCTCAGAGGTTGGGTCAATTCCCCAAGATCGCTCTAGACTGGGGTGGCTTGGGCGCATTCTTCCCACAATATACTCTGGGCCGCCCCCCCCCCCCAAAAGCAGGTTAACGGAGGAATGGAGAATTAGTCCATAAGCCCCTTGGAATCATGTTACTCACATAGAGGTGCGGTACTTGATGTCATCTTTTTCAGCCAGCTCCTCACAGGTGAGGCCATTGTGTTCTTTCCAGAGTCCCTGACACTTCCTACAGGTTTCCTGGGGATAAAGACCAGACACAAAGATACCTCCTTGTGAGTAGATACCATAAAAGTTCCTGTTCAACAAAAGGGCTTTACTTGACTTGAATTTTCTCAGAGGATCTCTCTCCTGTTCAGCAGGGATATTTCTAAAGATATCTTTCAATAGAAGAGGTAGGAATTGTTAGAAGAAAGCACAAGGAAAATTTTCTCTCCTTTGATCAAGAGAAAGTGTTGCTCCTATCACCCAGTTTGTATAAGGCTTTCTAAAATGCCACAGGACACCTGAAAAAAACCACAGGAGGCAGATCTTGGGTTTTTAAAAATAAAACACCATGAGCTGCTTGAGGGTAGGGTCTGTCTGGATCTTAGTAACGTCTGCAGTCCTGACGCTCAGTACTCTGGCATGCAGGAGATACTGCTACTGAACTGAAGAATGGCCTAGATTAGGCTCACCAGAGGTCCCTCGGGAGACTTATGCGAGCTATCAATCACTCATAACACGGATGTCACCCTTTATAGTTTAACTTCATTTTCAAACAAGAATTTAAAAAAATCACCATCTTTTATTCTAAGATCCTTCATAGTTTATAAGATACTTTCATATGTGCCAGAAACTATCCCACATCAGTAATAATAATTTAAAGAAACATTAATCCAATGGTCACAGACATAAATGGTATTACAATGCTAGTAAGTACAATGGAGGAAAGGGTGTTGTCAGCTTTGACTGGGGGCCTGACCTAGATTGGGGAGACAGTGAAGGCTTGAGGAAGTGAAGCCTGAGATCTGAAAGATGAGTTAACAATAACTGGATGGGGTAGCAAAGAGATCAGCACTCCAGACAGAGGAACAACAAGAGAAGACTCTGGCAGACAAGGCCGAGAGAGTTTGGTTCCTGCAGTTGGATTGCAGACAGTGAAAACACACCTGGTGAGGCCTGCAGGCTGCACTGTGCAGGGCCCAGGAGGGCGTGATTTCAGTTTGCTCTTTATTCTAACTAAGAACACTAGGAAGCCACCAAAGGTGTCAAGCATGGAAGTAACATGGTCAGGTTTAGGATTTTAAAAGATCATTCTGGGTGGGAAAATATTAACAGATTGGAGGGAGGAAAGAGCAGAAATGCAAAAGATAGTTAAGAGCTAATAAAGTCATCAGGAGAGGGGCTAAGGAGGCCCAGACAAGGGCAGTGGTGAGGACGTGAAGAAAAGTTGGCTGATTTGGGAGAAATGGAGGAAGTCAGACTGGCAGGCTTGGTGGGGCTCAGCTTTGGGAGTGGGGAGGGGTCGGGGTGATGACCCGGGTTCTGGTTTGTGCAATCAGAGACAACAGTGACAATGGTGAGATGAGTGTTGGGTGGTGGGAGGCAGGCATGAAGATCCTGAGCTGACCTGGGCAGTGCTGACACAGAGGGCCTGGGGACACTCACTGGAGAGGTGAGGTAGAGAGTTGGGGGTAAACGTTTAGCACTTAAGAGGGTCAGGCGAGAGGCTACTCCAAATGTACTAGATCATATCTTCACATTAATTCTAGAAACATCTCCTACAGCTGTACTCCCCACTAGTTACTGAACTTTCTTTAATATGTGCTAACATGACTCTAACAGGGCACAGAATGGTACATATAATATAGATGCCACCATTTCTGTATTAAAATAGGTGGTAGTGGAGGCAGAATACAGCGATATGTAAAATCAACCTGAAAGTATATACACGAAATTGGTAACACAAATAGCCCTGGTGTCTTAAAGGCAGAGGTAGGACTTTTTCACTGTAGGTCTTTTCTACCTTTGGAATTTTTTTTTTTTTTGAGACAGAGTCTCACTGTGTTGCCCTGGCTAGAGTGAGTGCTGTGGCGTTAGTCTAGCTCACAGCAACCTCAAACTCCTGGGCTCAAGCGATCCTCCTGCCTCAGCCTCCCGAGTAGCTGGGACTACAGGCATGCGCCACCATGCCCGGCTAATTTTTTCTATATATATTTTTAGTTGTCCGATTAATTTCTTTCTACTTTTAGTAGAGATGGGGTCTCGCTCTTGCTCAGGCTGGTTTCGAACTCCTGAGCTCAAACAATCCGCCCGCCTTGGCCTCCCAGAGTGCTAGGATTACAGGCGTGAGCCACCGCGCCCTGCCCTACCTTTGGAATTTTATGCTATATATATGTACTATCTAATTTTAAAAAATTTAAAAAGAGAGAGAAATGAAATGGACTGTTTAGGGAGCTGAGAACCTGAACAACCCTTTGGTAGGATGTTGTGAAAAGTCTCCAATGAATGGGATGGGGTGGGGGAGAAACGAGCTGATGAAAATACAATATTTAAAGGCATGGCTTCTGAGGGGTATGATATGTCTAGGTCTCTACCTACATCTCGTTCAGTAAACAGAGGCTAAATCAGTAGTGCACTTAATTATTACCACCAAAATGTATAGCAGCACAAACCTGTTTTCATAAGACCTTGCGCTTGACTATTCCAGGAAACTGAGGATAAACAACAGCTGGAGAATAGATAAGTTGGTATTTGGATCCTAACCTTGAAAACAATGCCAACCTAGCCACCCTCCAGGAGTAACAGCTTGAAAACAAAACACAGCATTTAGACAGTGCTTTTCAGCATTCCTGGTGATTCAGTTATTAATTCACAGACCTTCCTCGTAAGGGAAGAAATCTCATTTTTGAGGTGAGGCACGGGCCCATGAGAGCAAAATGACCCAGCCATTCTGGAGTCCGTTGTGTGTGAGGGGTCACCGTGGAGCCTTCTGCTCCTCTTGACACCACAGTGGGTCTGCTGTAGGTCACCATGTGGGTTTTCAGCCAGGGCACTCCTCAATGAAGGGCCCAGGGGTCCCAGAGAACAAACCTGAAACATCTTTTGAGAGACTATGCAGCTAGATACTGAAACCCACAACTGAAATAAGGCATGTGCAGGCCAGGTAAGCTCGACATTTGGAGCACTCTCTGTGTTATTTCTTTAAAATCTACCCTCTTTTCTAAATACAATATGTATTTTACTAAATTGTAATTCTCTCCTCTCAGGCACAGCTAGGCTTTATTCCTAAATTCAACTAGTGCTTAAACAATATAAAACAGAAGAAATGCTCTTGAATGTTTCTTTAACATGAAGATAACCATGTTCTTCAAATTGAGGTTAATAAGAAAGTCCCAAAGGACCATTCTGGAAGGCAGAGCACACTTTGACAAGTAACTTCAGAACACAATGGGCAGCATATCCTGGCTACCAAATCTAACTGGAGACCAGAGACCATGCTTTCCATCACCTTGTGTGTTTTCAGACCAGGAGGAAAACAGCAGAATTCATTATCATCCCAAATACGACAACAAAGCCAACTGCTCCCTTCTCAGTGAGGACGTGGCACGCATACTGGGGGACTCACTAAGGAGCAGCAGCCAGTCTATGCTCTTCATGACACCAGTGAGACTGTTGGTTAAGTTTTACGACGTCCTTTCGTTCTCGGAATTCATGAGGGTGTTCTGATTGTTCATTAGGTCTTCACTTTGTAATATAAAGAAAACTCTCTAGTCTCCCTTTATCCATTCTTTGCTGCCTAAATAATGTTTCATGGACAAAGCAGAAGATAAAATTCAACTACAGATGACTATCGAGAAGCTGAAATTTCTTCATATAAACATAGCTTCCTCAAAAACCAGCAGACAAATGTGTCTGGCTATCACCTCACCCAGGCCCAGCAGATTACGCTGATCTCGAGGCCCCTGGGTTGGCTGGCAAAGAACCCAAGAGAAGATCTGCAGCCACGGTCCAAGCCACCAGATTCTGCTTTCGCTTCCTCCCCAACCCTGCAAGCCCACCCGGAAGCTCCTCGGTCCCTGCACACTCTAGATTTCACATGTTGATTTCCAGCCTTGTCTCAGAAGCAGAACATACCAGAAACTGCTCCCCTATTTTTGAATTGCTCCTCCAGTGAAACCTAAACTCACTCTCGAGGAGAGAAGTTGCTGACTTTGCTATGGGGCATAAGGCTGTGGCCAATCCAAATCTAACCTCGGAAATTCCAGCTCTCTGCTTTGTCACTTTGAAAAACAGTGAGACTATAGATCCCCAGAGCTCGAGGTAAAAGATGAGGCCTGGGCAGCTGACTGTTCATGGACGCTCAGACAGAGACCACAGGGTTGTGGCTTCCAGGCCACTCGTGTCTTCCTTGTAAAGTCATGCGTCCTCCCAATCCCAGGCCCAAATGACATACGCATGCCAGCCAAAGGTCCAGAAAGACATCAGTTTTAAGAAGGGGAAGGCGAGGTGCTGTGGCTCAAGCCTGTAATCCTAGCACACTGGGAGGCCGAGGTGGGAGGGTCACTTGAGCTCAGGAGTTCGAGACCAGCCTGAGCAAGAGCAAGATCCTATCTCTACAAAAAATAGAAAAATTAGCTGTGCGTGGTGGTGCACACCTGTAGTCCCAGTTACTTGGGAGGCTGAGGCAGGAGGATTGCTTGAGCCCAGGAGTTTGAGGTTGCTGTGAGCTATGACGACGCCACTGCACTCTAGCCTGGACAACAGAGAGTTGCTAGGTACTGAAAACATATACATCTTCACAAAGGGTGCTTTGTATACACACCTCATTCAGTCTTCACGGCAACTCTAAGAGAAAATAAAGGACCATTTTCCCTGTTTTTTTTAAAGTAAATGAGAAAAGGAAGGCTCAGAGAGTCAAGTCAAATTAACTTGGTCAAAGCCATGGAGCTATGGACACGAGTCTGCCTCATTCCAAATCCATTTGCTCTTTCTATTCTATTCCCACTGCATGCCGGCATGCTATGTGCTAGCAAGAACAGGGCACTGTTTCCTGGAAAACCCAAGGGCACGATGGTGTGAGACAAACCCTGAGGTAACAATGGCATCTTGTATAAGAAGACCACAGACGAACAACCAGCCAGGTGGCGTGTGGGTGTCAGGGTGGCCAATGCAAGGATGCCCAGCTGCGGCCGTGCAGGATGCTTGCTTTCCTGTGCTGCATGCAGAGCTGGGAAGGACCCTGTAAGAGGCAGGAT